TCTCTCTCTCTCTCTCTCTCTCTCTCTCTATTTTTCTCTTCTCTTTGCATTTGCCGCATGCAATCTCTAAGTTGTTGTATTGAATTAGTAGTTGAAGTAGGCTCCTATTTATAGTGCAAATAAGAGTTGGCTAAAGATGAGATAGAAAGGGGATGTCGGCATATCAAGTAGGTGGTGTCAATTGGCATGTGCATATGAATGTAATGCTGCCAGCTATAAGAAATTATAGCAGGAGGTGTTCAAAGCTAAACAAATTCAAGATATGCATATGACAACTCACAAGGTGATAGTGCTCCTAGCTTGGCTATAATAAAATGGATATGTCTATCACTAATATGAATCAAAGTTGATCACTACAACCCTACTTAGCCACCAAGTATTAATAACATGCAAGAGGTGCAACGATATAAGATTAATAAAACATATTCGGATATTTATTTAAAGTATATATTTATTAATGATAATATTTATGGAAGTATAACATGTACCAAGACAATTATATATATATATTTAAAATACAGGGTTTCACATTTTCTTATCTTAATATTAATTTTCAACATTGCAAAGTGAAAAATAAAAACATTTACAAGGTGATGTTGTATTACAAGGTGCAAATGTAGCTCCCACCTCAGCATGATGTGGGCCCCACCCTAACCATGTCATCACTTAACAGCAAATTTAACGATTAGGTGATACTTTGCAACATGGAGGGAAGTTTGGGTGTCACATTTGTCAAAATAAATTTTTTAGGAATGTGGTATTTGTGCAAAATAATTAACAACAGTTACTTTCTTAATTATATCATAGTTTACTTACCAAAGTGGATAAGATTTATATTTTTAGTTGTGCGTCTTGATAGGGTTTGAATTTTGGTGCAACCAGAAGCTTTCGAGCTGTGCTGGTCTCTATGAAAACAGCGAGAAACTACTAGGAAATCAAGAAGGGTGATGCTCGAAAAGTCATTATTACCAAGGAGGAGAAAACTAATATCCAGTCCAAAAAAAAGTTCTCGTAGAGTCCGAATTTGTGGAAAAATAAACATCCAAAACTCTGAAAGAGCCTCACTAAGAAAATGGTAAATTACTCAAATAGTCCTTAAATTTATACCCAATTTACATTTTGATCCCTCAATTAAATTATTCGTTCAAATAATCCATCAATTCTATATTAATCGCTCAATTGATCTTATCGTTAAATTATGTTAATATTGCAGTCAAATGTAAGGGTAAAACTGTTCATAACCTTCCTATGTTCCCTAGATAGGTGATACAGTGATGATAAAGGGGTGATACATAGGTCAAAAGTCTTATTTACCCTCACAAATGTAGCATGTGCTGCTTACATGACTAAATTTAAAAGAAAATGTAACGATAAGACCAAAGAGACAATTGATAAAGAGTTGGTGGACCGTTTGAACGAATAATTTAATTTAGAGACCAAAATGTAAATCGGGTACAAATTTAAAGACCATTTGAGTAATTTTCCCCTAAGAAAATTGTTTTCCATTTCTTTATTCGTTTTGGCCTCACATATTAAATAGATGTGCAACTTACCATTATAAAAGCTTAACAATCTAATCAAACAACTCACCCAACCCAACTCCTAACGTTCAACTTCACATGATGATGAATCATGATAGGAGAAAAAGAGTCGAGCATTTCCCACTGTCAGTCCTAACACAGTCAAATATTATCCAGAGAGGTACCTAAACTAGGTCACCTAGCACACAGTACAAAAAAACATCTAGCATAAAGAGAAAAAAGATAGACTTTGGTCAACAAAACGACAATAACCTACACAAAAGACAATGCACGCGGTTTCACCAGTGGTCTTCTCCTACAAGTAGACTTCTTTGTCGATCTTGCCATGTGCAATTGTGGCTGTGGTTTCACTAGTACTGTTACTGTATATGAACTTGCCCCCTATGTAACAAACCTCAAATATATATCCCCACATTTGATTAAAAAATCCCCCAACAAGAACATCTCCTTCTTCTCCTCAACCTCTGCCTTGCTTACCCTGCATCCATCCATCCGCCATGAATTTCATCGTGGAGAAACTCATGCTTTTCATTTCCACTGCCCTCAATTACCGTGCTACCCTTTTCTCCCCTGGCCATTATCATCATGACCTTACTTTCATCATCCGCCAGAACAGCACGCCACCCAACCAAGTCTACGACGCCGCCGAGCTCTACCTACCATCCATCGAGTTGATCAATCCCTCCACTCGTACTATCGGCGTCAGCAAAACACCGCGGCAAGAAGCTGTCAAGCTTGCCATGGAAAGCGGTGAACAAGTCGCCGACGCCTTTGAGGGCATTAACCTTAAGTGGCATTACGTGGTCAAAACACTCCCGAACTGCCGTATAGAACGTCAATTTGAGCTTACGTTCCACAAGAAACACAAAGACAAAGTCATGACTTCCTACTTGCCCTATGTGGTTGCTCGGGCTGAAGCCATTAAGGAAGAGAAAAAGATTCTCAAACTTCGTAGCGTTAACTCACCATCACGGGTGGATCTGGAGCACCCAGCCACGTTCGAGACGATCGCCATGGAGCCCGACCAGAAGACAAAGATTATAAAGGACTTGGACAGGTTTGTGAGGAGGAGGGAGTTTTATAAGAAGGTGGGCAAGGCTTGGAAAAGAGGCTACTTGTTGTATGGCCCTCCTGGCACTGGTAAATCCAGCTTGATTGCAGCCATGGCTAATCATCTCAAGTTTGACGTGTATGAATTGGAGCTTGATGGTATTTACAGTGACTCTCAATTGAAGAGCGTGTTACTGTCCACTGCAAATCGTTCTATTTTGGTCATTGAGGATATTGATTTCGGCGCCATTAATGCGCGAAACCGAAAGTGCGGGGTTAGTACCTACCTAATTTTTTTTGTGAATTAGGTGTTTGATAATTTTTGGTTTTTTTTTTTGGTGTAACATAGTAAAAATATTAATTACTATGTTGATATTTGCAGATCACGCTCTCAGGCCTGCTAAACTTCATGGATGGTCTGTGGTCGAGCTGCGGTGACGAGAGAATTATTGTGTTCACAACAAACCACAAGGATCGGCTTGAGCCTGCATTGCTGCGTCCTGGTCGAATGGACGTCCACATTCACATGTCCTATTGCACTCCTCATGCGTTTAAGGTTTTGGCCTCCAACTACCTTGGCGTTCAGGACTTGGACCGTGATCCTCTTTACGGAGAAATCGCGGGGTTGCTAGAGAGCACAGAGGTCGCCCCTGCTGAGGTTTGTGAGGAGCTATTGAAGAGAGATGATGATGTTGACGATGATGATGTTGATGCTGCTCTCCAAGGAGTTGTTAAATTTCTCAAACTCAAGAAGCTTGAAAGGGATAATAATAATATTGATAAACCAGAATTTCAAGAAGGAAAAAGGCAGGATATGGATGTCAATGTTAATGATGACGACAGTGAGAGCTCAAGCACCTAAAATAATCGACCACAGCTTTATCTAGCTAGGCAGTAGAATAAGTTGCATCTTCCGATGGCCTAGCTAGTCCCGTTGGCTCTAAGTACTTTTGTATTTGGTTTTGTTTGGTGTTGTGTTTCTCCTTTTTGTTTGGCTATCCTTGTTATGGTTATTATATGTAATAGTTACTTGAACTTTTTTCTAGTTTAATGCTATGACATTGGATGTCAGTTCAATTAACCGCCTAATATAAGGGCCCAACCCCCACTCTATCTATGCGTCTCTTCAGATTCAAAACACATGGACGTTGGTTGGAGGTGAGGGAGGGTCCAGTGGGCTGGGAGAAGAAGAGAGGGACGGGCTGGTTTTTTTTTTAAATTATTTATAAAGTTTTTTTATTTTAATATTAATTTGCAACATTGCAAAGTAAAAAATAAAACCATTTACAAGGTGCAAATGTAGCTGCCACCTCAGCAAAATGTGGGCCTCACCTTGACCATGTTATCACTTAACAACAGATTTAACGATTAGGTAATACATTGCAACATGGAGGAAAATTTGGGAATCGAGCACCATCGGACGGATGTCCTCCTCTCGCTCTCCTTCTAGCAGAATTGATATGGGTAGATGGTCCTGGTATTTATCCAGAAGATTTGGCAGGCCGAAAATGAAATTTCCCATGTTGAGATTTACACAATTTGCATATTTTCATAGAATTTGAGCTCGGGATTTCGGATTGCAAAATTCCCCAATATTGCTCGCATGTAATTTGCAAAATTCTGAGTTGATGGTATTGGAAATGCTGCAAAATACTCCGTTTTCCATGAGTGAAATCCCGATTTTTGCTCATATCCCATCTTTTTCCCCTCATCCAAACACAGTGGCTGCTATTGGAAATGCATTAATTAACAACAGTTTCTTTGTTAATTATAGTGTACATACCAAAGTGGAGAAATTATGTGGAAGAAGTCGTCTTCGTCGCTATTGCTATGCAAATGTGTGTGGCTGACCAGCATGCACGTGTCCATTTGGCTTTTTGTGGTTCCATGTCTTTTACTGGAGAAATTTTTGAGTGTTCCCGGTACATCACGTGGTTGGTGTACCATCCAATAGACGGAAGACATATGAAATATGTCCAATGCAGTCCGCCACATGAGTAATTTTGGAGTGTTCCCGGTACACCACGTGGTTGGTGTACCATCCAATAGACGGAAGACATATGAAATATGTCCAATGCAGTCCGCCACAACCTGAATTTTTTTTCTTTTTGCTCTCGCAAACCAAGCAACCTCAACTATATATATAACCAAATTTTGATAGAAAAAAAATCCACCCAATAGGAGCATCCTCCTTCTTTCTCAACCTCTGCCTCCCTTGCCCTGCATCCATCCATCCACCATGAATTATCATCATGGCCTTACTTTTATCATCCCCGAGGAGAGCTCGCCATCCAACCAAGTCTACGACGCCGCCCACCTCTACCTCCCAACCATTCACTTGATCAATTCCTCCACTCGGACCATCCGAGTCACCAAAACACCGCGCAGAGAAACGGTCAAGCTCGCCATTGAAAGCGGTGAGCAAGTCCCCGACACCTTTGACGGCGTTGACCTGAACTGGCTTTACGTGGTCGAAAAACATCCGAGCGGCTGTGTTGATCGTCGCTTTGAGCTGACGTTTCAAAAGGAACACAAAGACAAAGTCATGACCTTCTACTTGGCCTATGTTGTTCGTCGCGCCGAAGCCATTAAACAAGAGAGCAAGATTCTCAACCTCCGCAACATTAACACGTACGACGAAGTCGAATTCGAGCACCCGGCTACGTTTGAGACGATAGCCATGGAGCCCAGCCTAAAGCGAAAGATTATAAAGGATTTGGAGAGGTTTGTGAGCAGGAGGGAGTTTTATAAGAAGGTGGGCAAGGCTTGGAAAAGAGGCTACTTGCTGTATGGCCCACCTGGCACTGGAAAATCCAGCTTGATTGCGGCCATAGCTAATTATCTCAAGTTTGATGTGTTTGAATTGGAGCTTGATGCTATTGACAGTGACTCTGAGTTGAAGAGGGCGTTGCTGTCCACTACAAATCGTTCCATTTTGGTGATTGAGGATATTGATTGCTCCGTCAATAAAGATAAGGAAAACCGGGTCAGTACCTACTCTTTGTTTGTAAATTTTTATACTAAGCGACACCGGGTAATCGAATTTAGAACCTTGGATCCTGGGCTGAATTTTTATTTTTATTAATTAGTATATTTGATAGTTTTGTGATTTTGTTCTGTAAATAATAAAGATTAATATTATGTTAATATTTGCATGCATGCAGTTCACACTGTCAGGCCTACTAAACTTCATGGATGGTTTGTGGTCAAGTTGCGGAGATGAGAGAATTATTGTGTTCACAACAAACCACAAGGATCGGCTTGACCCTGCATTGTTGCGTCCTGGCAGAATGGATGTCCACATTTACATGGGTTATTGCACCCCAAGTGGGTTTAAGGTTTTGGCCTCCAACTACCTTGGCATTCCTGACTTGGACGGTCATAGCCTTTACGGAGAAATCGTAGGCTTGCTAGAGGGCACAAAGGTTACCCCTGCTGAGATTTGTGAGGAACTACTGAATACAAATGATGAGGATGATGATGAAGATGCTGATGCTGCTCTCAAAAGACTTGTCGACTTTTTCAAACTTAAGAAGCTTGAAGGTGATAAACCCGAAATTGAAGAAGCAAAAAACCAGAAAATGGATGCCGATGTTAATAATATTAATATTTTCAAGAGAGAAACTGAAGAAGAAAGAAGGCAGGAAATGGATGTCAAAGTGAATGATGACATAGAAAATAAATGATGGTGATATATAGATGCTGGAAAGTGTTTTGGTAGCAAAAATAAATTATAAAATATATGTATTAATTAATCTTCTTCATTATAATGAAAAAAGGTTGAATTAATCCTTCCATAGTTAATTGTGGTAAGGTGGTCGAGAGTAAAGGAAGGCAAAGAGAAGCAAATAAATGAAGGTACTGGGCGTGGGCGTGAAATTTCTGCGCAACCAAATGAAGACTTTTTTTGTTTGCTGCATGTGAACGGTTAGAAAGGAGTCAAGCATGATCATGATTCATGAATCAACAAGATGACAATAACATACTGGGGATTGTGTGCACGCGGTTTTGGGTCTAAACAAGGCACAAACACGACAGAGCACACAGCAGAACACGCAAAGGCACAGACACAAGAACCCTAAAAGAAATTAGGGCCCACAGTAGAACACGGGTGGGCACAACACACACAGGTCACCAGAAAGTCGGCTCTGATACCAAGTCAAATTTTCCAGGTTAACGGGCCGAGGGTCCACTCCAACAACACCGATACTGTCCCCACTTTACCACCTGCACAATCCTCAGGTGTGGGGTTTTATCACAAAAGGCCACGGTATTAGTTGGAGTGGGGTAATTCTATTTAAAGTACTCTTTCTCCTTCCCTCTCTCCGATGTGGGACACAATTGGTTTCAACAAGAAACTTGCAAATTAAGCCACCTCACGTAAATATCCCCAACTTTGATCCAATTTTAATTTGTAAAAGATGTGATTAGAGAAGGTGTGTCTATACATTTTGATTGATAAAAAGGCTAATAGGGTGTTAGTTGTAGCCAGGCTTTTGGTGTGCTCCCAAGTGGTTCTGAATTCAAGCTCCATGGTACGTGTACGTGTGCTTGTGAGTTTTCCCCTTCTTCTTTCTAACTTTGGCAACAACAACAAAAGCTACAGTCAAGTGGTATTGTCTAAACTAAAATTTGGCAAAATAGTCGTTTTAAGTATTTATGCGGTGGTGGGTGTGGTCACGACATAAAAAATGGATGTCGATGTTAATAATATTAATATTTTCAAGAGAGAGAAACTGAAGAAGAAAGAAGGCAGGAAATGGATGTCAAAGTGAATGATGACATAGAAAATAAATGATAGTGATATATAGATGCTGGAAAGTGTTTGGTTTGGTAGCAAAAATCAATTATAATATATATATATATATATATATATATATATATATATATATATATTAATTAATCTTCTTCATTATAATGGAAAAAAGTTTGAATTAATCCTTTCATAGTTAATTGTGGTAAGGTGTGGTCCAGAAAAGGAAGGCAAAGAGAAGCAAACAAATGAAAGGTACTGGGCGTGAAATTTCTGTGCAACCAAATGAAGGCCTTTTTTGTTTGTTGCGCATGTGAATGGTTAGAAAAGAGTCAAGCATGATCATGATTCACCCCAACTCCTACGTTCACTTCACATGATCATGAAGAAAAAAAGTCAAGCATTTGTATTGTTATTGTACCACTAGCAGTCCAAAAATAATCAATCAAATATTTATCCAAAACACGAGGAAAGGGATAAGACTTTAGTCAACAAGATGACAATAACATACTGGGGATTGTGTGCACGCGGTTTCGTGTCTAAGAAACTTGCACATTAAGCCACCTCACGTAAATATCCCCAACTTTGATCCAATTTTAATTTGTAAAAGATGTGATTAGAGAAGGTGCATGCATACATTTTGATTGATAAAAAGGCTATAGTCAGGCCCTATTGACCAATAGTAACTAACCTAGACTTTTGGTGCGCTCCCAAGTGATTTTGGATTCAAGCCCCATGATACTTGTGCGTGTGAGTTTTCCCCTCCTTCCTAACCTTGGCAACAACAAAAAAAAGGCTACCGTCAAGTGGTGTTGTCTAAACTAAAATTTGGCAAAATGGTCGTGTCAAGAATTTATACGGTGATGGGTGTGGTCACTACAATGCTTTCTTAGGTGGTGATGGTTGTATAGTTCATTTAGGCACCTAAGTTGTTTTAGGGTTCAGCTATATTAGATTTGTGGAATTTATTTAAGATTATGTTTAATTATATAGTGATTTGGGCTAGTAGTTTAAGTGCGATTTTTTGTCCGTTTTGGTTTTGATTTTAGAGACTTTGGTCAAATTGGAAACCAGAAAAAAGGCAGACTCTCGTCAACAAGAGGAAGGCAAGGAGAAGCAACCACGAACTAGCAGCTTCTGGGGTTTGATGCATGTCAAGGATATGGACCCACTCCACAGTGAAGACTTGCCGTCCATCCAGGTGCAGCACACGTAGGCACAAATGCCCTGGATATTATATTAGGCTATGGCTAGCTCTCTGTCTTTTTTATGGAAAATGCTAGGCATGCCATATTTTTATATCACATTGTGTATTACTTCTCTAATAAAGGTGGGCCCCATTGTATTGGTGGGCTCCACCTTTATTAGAGAGATGGTACACAATGTGGTATAAAAATGTTGTATGCCTAGCATTACCCTTTTTTTCATATCATACTTGGAGTTGTGGGGTCTACCCAAACGCTTGCAAAGTAAGCAACCTCTCAACTATATATATAGAAACGCCTCCCAACACCATCCACACCTTGTTCTCTAGCTGTGCCTCTCTCCCTTGCTGCCTCGATCCATCCGCCATGAATTTTATCTTGGAGCAGCTCCTGCTTCTCATTTCCACTGCCCTCGATTACCTTGCTACCCTTATCTCCCCTCGTCACGATCGTCATGAGGACCTTACTTTCATCATCCGCCAGGACTACAGGCCACCCAACCAAGTCTACGACGCCGCCAAGCGCTACCTCCCAACCATTGACTTGATCAATCCCTCCACCCGAACCATCCAAGTGAGCAAAACGCCGAGGCAAGAGACCGTCAAGCTTGCCATGGAAAGCGGTGAGCAAGTCCCCGACACCTTTGAGGACATTAACCTCAACTGGCGTTACGTGGTCGAAACATTCCCGGACGGCAGCGTAGAACATCGCTTCGAGCTAACGTTCCAAAAGAAACACAAAGAAAAAGTCATGAGCTCCTACTTGCCCTATGTGGTTGGTCGGGCCGAAGCCATTAAAAAAGAGGAAAAGATTCTCAAACTTTCTAACCTTAACAACGCATCAGTGGATTTGGAGCACCCAGCTACGTTCGAGACGATCGCCATGGAGCCCGACCTGAAGAGAAAGATTATGAAGGACTTGGACAGGTTTGTGGCGAGGAGGGAGTTTTATAAGAAGGTGGGCAAGGCTTGGAAAAGAGGCTACTTGTTGTATGGCCCTCCTGGTACTGGAAAATCCAGCCTGATTGCGGCCATGGCTAATCATCTCAAATTTGATGTGTTTGATTTGGAGCTTGCTAGTATTCGCAGCGACTCTCATTTGAAGAGTGTGGTTCTGTCCACTACAAATCGTTCCATTTTGGTGATTGAGGATATTGATTGCACCGTCCATAGTAAGGATAACAGGGTCAGTACCTACTCTGTTTTTTTTTTTTGGGTGAATTTTAATTTTTCTTTAAATATAGTGACCTTAAATGCACCTCCTTAATTATGTGTATCTGATAATTGCATTTGGTGATTTGTTCTATAAATAATAAAAATATTATTTACATTCAGTGTTATGTTGATTTTGCAGTTCACACTCTCAGGCCTACTAAACTTCATGGATGGTCTTTGGTCAAGTTGTGGTGATGAGAGAATTATTGTGTTCACAACAAACCACAAGGATCGTCTCGACCCTGTATTGCTGCGTCCTGGTCGAATGGACGTCCACATTCACATGTCTTATTGCACTCCGAGTGCGTTTAGGATTTTGGCCTCCAACTACCTTGGTGTTGAGGACTTGGACCGTCATCCCCTTTATGGAGAAATCGCGGGGTTGCTAGAGAGCACAAAGGTCACCCCTGCTGATGTTTGTGAAGATTTCTTGAAGAAAAATGACGATGATGTTGATGATGATGATGATGTTGATGTTGATGCTGCTCTTGAAAGAGTTGTCAAGTTTCTCAAACTTAGGAAGCTTGAAGGGACTAATAATATTGATGAGCCAGAAACTCAAGAAGAAGAAAAGGCAGGAAATGGATCTGAAAGTGAATGATGAAGGTGATAACTACTCATCCATCTAACATGAGCTATAGCGAGCCCCTTTGAGATGGTTTTGGGTTCAAGTACTTTTGTTGGAAAAATAAATATGAATGTTAGATTCCTAGGTTTTGTTTGGTGTCATGTCCCTTTTCTGTTGGGTCTATGTTTGGTGTTGTCCTATTATCCTATCTGATTATGATGTAATCACTTTGGTTATATCGACAAATAAAGTAATGGTGTGGTTAACCCTTTTTCGTTTTTTCCTTTTTCTTTGTTCTTTTCCAAATGATCTTCTTACTTTTTTTTTTTCGATGAACTGGGGGGGTAGAACCCCAAAGACAAACAGAAACTACTCATTACAGACTAGCCGAGTCCTAGTGACTCCAAGCAGATCATCAACAAGGCTAGCGCCAATCCAACTTTGGGCCATATCAAAAAGACAAACACCTAAGTCCATATTGTAGCCCCATTGCGCAACACAGTCAGCAACCATATTTCTTTCTCTATAAATGTGTTGAAGAGCACAAGAATCAAACTTTCCCATAAGCTCCCAGCAACATGAAGCCAGAGACGCCACAGGATGTAAACCAAGAGCAGTAGAGTTCTTCACCAACTTAACAGCCACTGCAGAATCCATATCCACGAACAGATTGCAGATACCTCTGTCCTTAGTAAGCTTTAACCCAAAAAACAAGCCCCACATTTCAGCCTCAAGGATCTGACCTCTGCCCAAATTAGCAACAAACCCACAAGTCCAATCCCCAGAGGAATCACGTATAACTCCCCCTGCACCAATGCATCCAGAAGCACTTTTCCTGGTACCATCCACATTCAGCTTATAACTCCCCCCGCACCAATGATCTTCTTACTTTAACATTAAATGTTTGAGATTATATTCTCGATTTTACATCCCCATATAATTGCATCCAACCCACTTGAGTAAAAATCCCATATAGTTTCACCGGAGATACAATTTGGGATGTAAATGTAATTTTACATTCCAAGAGATTTAAGGATAAACGTAGTAGTTTTTCATGCTTCGTAGAGTGCAAGCGTCTTTTGAAGTGACAAGAATTAACGACTTTTTTCTTTGATCGGATTTTCTTCCACTGGGAGTTTTCAAGGCAAGGTTTTAATAAGGCTTTGACTGTATTGGTTTGCAAGGAATTCTTGTATTTGAATGACTATTAAATGAAGTTTTTCTTTCTTTAGTGCAAAAGAGTTTACGGAGAAAACTGTTTGCAATTTTTTAGTCCAAAATAAAATGGTCTTGTAGTAGATTAATACCAAATAGAGGAACTGAGGAAGAGAGGAGTAAGAAATAAAAGTATCATGTCCCATATTCATGTGGCAAAAGTCATGCAAACTGAGACTTTGACTTTGGTCAACAGGGAAGGCAACGAGAAGCAACCACCAGCATTTGATGGAAATTTCTGGTCTTATAGACCTTCTTCAAACATGTCTCGTTGACTTGGGACCTTTTAGGCGTTCACAAGTAATCGTGAGCAGAATTACCACGTTGCCTTCTGAAATGAAATCCATACAGCGGCTAGGATCACATAGACAAGGATTGTTTCGATGCATCTTCCTCTGCCTTTACCCCGACTCAATTCTATATTTTTTCTTACATCCTTAATCAACCAATGCAAATACATTCCATTCCTATCGGTTGCGTCAATATTAGGAGATGTTATATTTATGAAATACCATATAATTTTCCAAATACTTTTAGATTTGGTTGACACATGGTTGTTCAAAGGAAGAAGGGGGGAATTGGGAATGAGGTGTATTTTAATAACATTTTTGAATTAGAAAAAGATGAAATGAAGAGAGAATTTTGATGTTATCATTCACTAATTTTCAATTGTATGAATGCAAGCAGGCCAAACTCAAAATGTGGAATTTTGGGTCCAAAATCACCCTCAACGCTTCTATAGGGTCATATGTTATTTTTTCACTCATACCTTAAATCAGGCGGAATTTCAAACCAAGTTTGAGTCGGACAGGAATTACACTTGGCATATAAATATTAGAGTAAAATCTAATATACTTTCACTTAAGATGCAATTTAAGGCAAATGACTCAGTAGTGCAGTGTGCCTTAGTTCAGTATGCTATCGCCCCTTTCAATAAGAAACGTCTTCAAAAAAAAAAGGCAATTTAAGACGTAAATGCAATTTTCACATTCCCAAAGATGTTGTCAAAGAACTAAAGGATAAGCATCGTAGTTTTTCCTGCTCCTCCTTGTTTCAATCATGCATAGAGTGCAAGTGGCTACTTTTAAAATGCAATAATTAACAGCAGTTCCTTTCTTAATTATAGTACCAAACTGGAGAAAATTAATATCCATTATACTCCTTCAATAATTCATAGGATTTGAAATATGTGGTACTTTCTAAAATTTCTATATATATACAACAGCAAGGAAGGAGAAGCAACCACCAACCAGCAGCTTCTGTGTGGTTTGATGCATCATGCATGTGAAGCAGATGGGCCCCTGTTGCGTCGATTCAGCTGCACCAAAATGGATTCAGCTACATTCTCAACTTGTGATACTCGTAAATGCACGAGCCGTTCGGTAGTATAACATAGAGCTGGCAAACGGGTTGTTTTAGCGGGTTTCGGGTCGTTAACGGGTTAACACGAACACGACCCGTTAACCCGTTAAGAATAAACCCAGAAAAAAAAAAGGAAAAAAAACACATAGCCAGCAACCATTGTCTCTCTCATTTTTCTCTCAATTTCCATCTCATAAACACCATCCATAAAACTTTCATGACCATCCAGAAAACTTACATAAAGAAAAACAAGAAGAGAAAAAAATGGCTGATTAGATTAGATTATTTATATATAAAAGAAGACAGAGAGGAAGAGACGAGAGATGCAGATAAAAAGTGAAGAAGAAAAAAAAAAAGATGGAGAATGACGGAAAGAGGAAGAAGGAAAAGAGAAAAAAGAGATGGAAAGAAGAAGAAGAAGAGAGTGGGAGGTCACAAGAAGAGAAAAAAAAAAGGTTGATTAGATTAGATTAGATTAGATTAGATTATTTATAAAAAAAAAAAAGACAGAGAGGAAAAGACGAATAAGAAGAGAAGAAAACAAAGGAGAGATGGAGAATGACGAAATGAGGAAGAAGAAAAGGAAAAATAAAAAAGAGATGGAGAGAAGAAGAAGAAGAAAAGAGAGAGTGGGAGGTGAGAGACAGTAAACGGAGAGAGAAAGAGGAAAGATGGAAAAGGAATATAAAAAAAAGAGGAATGGTGTTGGAGTTGGAGACGGATATTTTTTTAAAAACACATTTAGCAAAACTACCAAATTACCCTCCTTAACGGGTGGATGCGAATATTTGCGAATTGACCCTACCCAACCCGTTAGCTGCTCCACACTCCCCATTCTTATGATTGAGGTTGCCATCTCTCTCCATTTTGTTGCGTAGATTTAGCTCCACCAAAATGGATTAAGCTGTATCCTCAACTTGTGATACTCGCAAGTGCACGAACCGTTGGTAGTTTAGCGTATGTAAGTGCGAGGTCGATTCCACAGGGATTGGTGATTGAATAATCCAATTCAGTTTTCCTACACAAAACAGAAGAACAAGAAAGAAAATAAATAAAACAAGAAAGAAAGAAAAGAAAATAATTCAAGTAGATAAGTTCCCAAGTTTAATTAGATTAACGGATTGATTCTAGCTAAAATATGATTAAGCCATGGTGTTTGGTCCTAACCTTGTGTTCCTAATTCTCTAATTTGATCATTTGTTGTCTAACCTAAAATTAAGCATTAGGAACCCATTAAGCATAGAAGAACATTTTAAACAACCAAGTATGTATCTAATCCCTGTTGTCGAATGTCCATACATACTCTTCCTATCCATAGTTCAATTTGAATTAAAGCATGGTGTCTACTCTTAATTCAAACTAAGATAGCTAACATGCAAGCCTAAATGGTGATCAATTATTCAAACTAGCATATTAACTTATAAGCATAATGAATAAGAACAAAAACCATAATTGAAACATGGAAACTAATCAAACTTGAAACTAAAAAAAAGAATTTACATAACAATGAAAAGTAAAGTTGAACTAAGAAAAATTTAAGGAGAATTTCAGCACAAATATTTCATTACAACAATTGAAAACTAGAAAGAGAAACTAAGAGAATTTGAGGGAGAGAAGGGAGGGGAGCTCTAGAGAAGTATTTGAGAGCTCCCCCCCTTGGGGGTGTGTTTTGAAGCTTGAAAACTTCTCTATTTATTGGGTTAAGAGGGAGGAACATCATGATGAATTCCAACACCACCATTCCTCTTTTTATACAACTCATAACTCTCACTTCATCTTGTCTATGTTAGTGTGATTGGAATCAATTCCATCTCATACTTCTTTTGCTGCTCTTGAAGCTTTCTTCACATGAGTTTTCAAAGGTGTTCAATTGTGGCTGCCTTTTGCTGCCAACCCATGTGATTTTCTTTTGGTTGCTGAAAAGAAATGATTCTTCTGAACCAGACTTGGTGTAGGAAGGCCTGAGGTTTCAATATGTATCCAATGAGGCTCAAATTTGTATATGTCATAATAGACACCCATTGGAACAACTTTTATCAAGAATGTATTCCTATATGAGCAGTACAAGTGTACGTTTTGGGCCTTGCAAGTTGATTGCCGAAAATAGACTGGAATTGACAATGCATTGCAGTCAGCTTGTGGGCTTGTTTTGGGCTTGATCTTCCCTCCTAAAAAATCTGGAAAAATTTAGATCTTCAAACCCTTTGAATTATCTTTCCAAGTATATGCAGCCCAACTCAAGAAAAAATCGGAAAGACCTTCAAATGTCATTTTTGGCCCAGTAACGCAGATGCGGCTGAATTTGACCTTAAGCTGCCAAAACTTGCATAACTTCCTCTAGAAGACTCGGAATCATAAACCGTAAAATTCTCCAGAAACTAGACTTCCGCATCTTTTCAATGATATATGGCTCATCATCTGGTTCTTCTTGAGCAAGTACCGTCCAATTCGTGAAGTTGACTGATTTGTAGACACCGTTTTGAGCTAACTTGTCTCCAAAATGCATTTAATGAGTCTCAAGCTTATTACACTGAAACAAACACAAAATTTATTAAAAGTATAAGTTTAACTCAAAAACATAATCAAATTATAAGTTAGTAGGGTACAAAATGATATATAAATATGCACCGATCACCCACCCCACAGTAAATACTTGGCAACTGTACTCTCATGGCCTGGAAATTGTATATATTTGACTATGGCTAGCTCTACCTCTATGCCTGTTTCATTTCATACTGGGAGTTGCGGGGTCTAAAAAGCTTTCAAATTAAGCAACCTCAAATATATATGTCCCCAAGTTATTTGATCAAAGAAATTCCCCCAACACCATCCTCCCTTCCTTGATCAGGAAAAGTTTCATGCCCCATTCATTCATCTGGCAAAAGACATGCAAACAGAGACTTTGACTTTTGTCAACGAGGAAGGCAACAGGAAGCAACCACCAGCATTTGATGGAAATTTCGCCCCTGTCTTGTAGAACTTCTTCGAACTTGTCTCGTTGACTTGGGTTCCTTTTAGGCGTTGACAGACAAGGAATTGTTCTGTAAATTCCTTTCTGTGCATCTGCCTTTTTCCTCCATTTGAGCCAAACCAAAGCTTGCAGAATTCTTGTGTTCTAGGAAGCAGAGAAACACAGAGGACTGTTCAGAATTCTTGTGTTCTCTAACAGGGTTCAGTTGTAAGTGTCTCTATAATCCTAAATTTTGTCAATCGTGAACCCTTTTTCTCCTTATTTATTGGTTGCAGAAGTTTTGCTCCTTTATTTATTTATTTATTTTGATGATAATCTTGGTCTGATCAAACATGATCCCAGGGTGTGCAGAGAGAAGATTATCAAAGAGAACAAAACCCAATTAATGTAAGTTTCACTTTACCCTGACTCAGTTCTACAGTTTCTTTTTGCTTACATCCTTAATCAACCAATATGTAAATATATTCCATTCCTATCAGTTCTTCGGTCAATATAATTAGGAGACTTTATATTTATGAAAGACCATATCATTTTCAGTAATATTTTTAGATTTGGTTGAGACTTGGTTGTTCAAAGGAAGAAGGGGATTGAGGCATGTTGATTTTTGAGTAGGAGCAATAGTCCATAATTGTAAAATATAATTGATAGTTTGCTACACTGTGAATGTTATATATGTTCAAAATGTGAGAAAGTCTCAGTTTTTCTTTTAATTTTCTTATTAGATTTGTGCAAGATGGTGGATGCTGTAGTAACAGTGTTCTTGGAGAAGTTGTTGGGAGCTTTATCAGAGGAGAGCCGCGTTTTCAGTGAATTCAGGGACAAATTTGAAACATTACAATCTGAGCTTCAACTGATGCAAAGCTTTCTCAAAGATGCAGAGAGGCTCAAGAGGAAGAATGAGATCGTTCGTCGCGTAATGGCTAATTTAAGAGAACTGATTTATGAAGCTGAAGACATACTAGCAGATTGTCAGCTTCAATCAAGAGATGATGGCCTGTTTTCCAGTGGTTGGTTTATGTGCACCAACCCTTTTAAACTTCCATTCCAATATCAAACTGGGAAGAGCCTTGGAGAAATCAACAGGAAAATTGCCACCATTAAGCAAGACATTTTATCCTATCTTGGAGTTCCACTGCTGAATCAACTGGAGCCAATAAATGCACAAAATGACCTGATGCCTAGATGGAGCAGTCCTGTGTATGATCACACCCAAGTCGTAGGTTTGGAAGGCGATGCGAGTAAGCTCAAAGAATGGTTATTTGAAGCTGACAAGGGGATACTAGCTATTGGAGTTGTGGGCATGGGGGGCCTGGGGAAGACCACTATTGCTCAAAAAGTATTTAATGACAGGAAGATTGAGGAGCACTTTGATAGAAGAATTTGGGTTTCTGTTTCTCAAAATTTCAGTGAAGAGCAAATCATGAGAAGTATGTTAAGGAACTTGGGAGATGCAAGCGTAGGAGACGATAAGGGTGAATTACTAAAGAAAATAAATGAATATCTTTTAGGCAAGAGGTTTTTGATTGTGATGGATGATGTGTGGAGCTTGGATGTTACTTGGTGGCTCAGAATTTATGAAGCATTGCCAAAGGGAAATGGAAGCAGCATCATTATCACCACAAGGATAGAGAAGGTTGCACAGAAAATGGGAGTGAAGGAAGCAAGATTGCATTGGCCCAAATGCCTCAGCAAGGATGATAGTTGGCTGCTATTTCAGAAGATTGCATTTGCAGCTGATGGAGGTGAGTGTAAGCATCCAGAACTGGAAAATGTTGGAAAGGAGATTGTTGAGAAGTGTAAGGGTCTTCCATTAGCAATCAAGGCAGTTGGAGGAATAATGCTCTGCAAACCATCACGCTATCATGAATGGAGGCGAATCGCAGACCATTTTCGTGATGAATTAGCAGAGAATGATAACTCAGTTATGGCTTCTCTACAATTGAGTTATGATGAACTCCCATCTTACTTGAAGTCGTGCTTTCTTTGTTTGTCTCTTTATCCTGAAGATTGTGTCATAACCAAAGACCAATTGGTACATTGGTGGCTTGGAGAAGGTTTTATTCCGCTGAGAAATCGTAGATCAGCAATTGCAGCAGGGGAAGATTGTTTCTCGGGGCTAACAAATCGATGTTTGCTAGAGGTGGTGGACAAGACTTATCATGGAACAATCTCCACATGTAAAATTCATGATATGGTTCGGGATGTGGTGATAAAAATGGCAGAAGATGATGCATTTTTCAGCACAGAAGGTAAAAACTGCCGCCATTTGGGTATTGCAAGTAGCATGGCTCAGAAGGCCAATCACAAGCTGCGTGCATTGTTATCTACAACTAAGACAGGTGAAGTGAACAAGATTGCTTCAAACACTGCAAAGAAGTTTTGTGAGTCTCGCAGCCTTCGAGCAATGGATTTGTCCAGGTCAATCTTTGATACACCTCTCTCAGGCCTTTTACATCAGATTGGTGTTCTTCAACACCTAACCTACCTTAGTGTAAGCAACACACATCCGTTGGTTCAACTCCCACCTTCACTTGACAAGCTTAGCAATCTTCAGGTTTTGGATGTCAGCTACTGTCAAAACTTAAAGATACTCCCCCCTTGTATTATGACTTTCAAGAAGTTAAGGGTCTTAGATGCCAGCCATTGTGGTTCACTCAAGTATCTACCTAAAGGCTTGGGAAGGCTTTCAAATCTTGAAGTGTTAGTGGGATTCAAACCAGCCAAATCAAGCCAGTTAGAAGGTTGCAGGATTGGTGAGCTCAGAAATTTAATTCGGCTTAGGATGCTCGGGATTCGACTGAGTTGCTGTGATGAGATTGGAGATACTGAGGTCAATGTATTGGTAAATCTACAAGAACTGCAGCATCTGTCAATAAGTTGCTTTGATAGTCATGGTAATAATGACCTCACATCCAAGCTTGACAAGCTGTTCCCTCCTCAACAGCTCCATGAGCTCAGCCTAGAATTCTATCCAGGAAAGATTAGTCCATCTTGGCTCAATCCCATCTCACTTCCTATATTGAGGTATCTTTCATTATCATCAGGCAATCTTGCAAGGATGAATGAAAAGTTTTGGGGGAATGACAACACTGTCTGGAAAATTGAGGGCTTACTGTTTGAATCTCTTTCCGATTTCGAAGAAGAATGGGAGAGGCTTCAACAAGTTATGCCAGCATTGAGAGTCGTCAATGTGAGCTGGTGCCCAGAGCTGGTATCTTTTCCAATTGAGAATGTTGGGTTTAGAGGTGGTGTCTGGAAGGAGGAAGTGCACAAAAGCTAAATGCAAATGTCATGTGCTAGCCAGCTAGTGCTACCATTGAATTTTAGCAAATGTTCAATTCAGTTTTCATTGTAAATAAGCTTGACTGCATGTAATATATGTACATGCTCTATGTTGCATGAATGTCCTTAGCTTGTTGTGGAGTCTCTAAACTGCCATTTTTAGAGGTATAATTGGAGAGAAGAAAGACGACGATGGATATCATGAAGGTGTTCACGGGACAGTCAGATCCTCTGTGAATCTTGATTCTGATTCAGACTGAAAAAAGAGGAAAGACAAAAAAAGGGAAAATGATACCTGAGTCTGCAAATGCTTTCTGATTGCATGCTTGTATACTTGTTGCCACATCTAATTTATGTTACCTTCTGAGTGTATCTTTTCTGTTTGTTTCTTTCTGAGGAACAAAATTGCATTGTAAATATATTCTTCCAGGCCTATTGACTAGAAAGTACTTTCGGATTTTTATTTATGGAAATTTTTTGTGTGACTATTGCAACAATGGAATGACAGTTTTTCAGGAAAACTAACTCTATCCTACCCGGATGGCCAAGATATCAAAGGGAAGAATCAAGGCTGAATGAATTTGAACTCCCAGTTTTACTATAGAAGTGCGTGGCTGTGAGTCAACTCAAGCTCACCTTGGTTGAGCTAAATCTTTTCACGTCCAACCAACATGCAATTTCAGCCAATAAGGAAACAATCAAGCAAAATCCTTGGAGGTTGGTAAGTTTGGAAAGAGAAATGACAACAAATCAAGAAGCTTGACCAGAAAATATTGTAAATTTTGAATCCATGGTGTGGAATTCAGGGGAATTAAGAAAAATATCTGTTTTTTTTTTTAAATGCTGAATAATCACAAATAATAACAATGTACATTTGGATTAAACGAATTTAAAAGAAAGAGTTTGAATATTTGCAATAAAGTTAGAAAATATAATGAAAAAATGACTATAAAAACACAAAAAGTAAATGGGTGAATTTCTTAACTGGCATAGAAATCTCTCGCAAGTGCATGCGCCGAAGATATTGTGTCACATTTTGTAATTAAAATGGCTAGATCCAATGAAGAATTTCAAATACATATATTTCAGATTTTCTTCTATTACAACTTGTAGTAAAATCAAAGAAATTTTTTTATAGGAAATACAATACAATCCAAACCAATCAAATTCAAATCTATAGATTTGAAATCACTATTTCCAAATGAACGCTATATAACAAAGGGTGTTTGTTTCTAGCCCAAAAGAAAGTCACTTGGTGAAGAAAACAGACGAAGAGAACACAATGTATGTCTTTCTTTAATTGAGTTGTACTTGTTCTTGTTTGTTTTCGGTTGTCTTTTTCGATTTCATTTTAGTTAGATTTTCTTTTGAGCTTCAATCTTAACATAATACTCTTTGTAATTGTTTGTTTGATCTAACAAAGAATCTAAACAAGTTAGTGTTCACATAAACTATGTCTGAAAGTAGTGAGAATAATTTTCCCGGGAAACAAGCAAAACAGACGTTAGTGGTCGAAGTTAAGTCAGCTCAGTTATCTATAGGATTTGAGTGGAGTTGCCTTGCATTTCGCCAACTTCTCTTTTTCTCTGTCTCATTCCCTGTTGTTGGTTAAGAATAACACAAGACTAGCAAAATGAGCATGATGTTTTTGAGACCTCGTCAACACCAAGCTCTGAATCGAAACCTTAAAAAAGAAAACAACATACTAATTTCTGTCTCTCTTCGACGTGTCTACCTCACTGTCTCTCCGTCATTTTCTAAGCATGGTCAAATCCCCAACTATGTTTCAGGATATTTATACCCATTGTTGTCTCTCTGCCCCAAACCCACCTTGATTTTTTTTTTTTGGATTGACCACCCACTGTGTGTATCACCAGATGTAATAATCTTCTAAACCCTCTATCCCACTGTCGTTTTGTTCAATTTGGTCCCCTAAATTCTGCCCATTTTTATTTGAATTAATTTGCTTTCAGTTTGGTTTTGGTGTTTTTTTTTTAAATTTATGTATTTATAAATTTGAGCTGCATTTGGTTGGAAATTAGCATAAATAGCATAATTTGGTCTGTTTTGTGATCTTGGTTTCCAGAGTGGGAATGTAAATGCGGGCATTTGGGCAGGGCTTTGGTTCCAGGTCTGTATCTGTGATATGAGTGCTTGATTCTTCTGCCCTTTGGCTACTTTTGCATAGATTTTCGGAGAAGGAAACCGTTTTCTCACGTGTGACACCATGTCTGGATCTCTCTTTGCAAGACCAGGTAATAAAACTACCATTTCTGTCTCATATTGTTCATCAATAATCATTGAGAATCAATGTATATTCACAAGACACGTTTATATTATGTATATATAACTATATGCTTCAAATGTGAGGATTTCTCTTAAATGTATAATGTGCGTTGACACTTAAAAGGACCTTAGGATGTTGAAATAACAAAACCTTGGATGTATTGACATAGGTAGACTCATAAATTCATGATCTTTGCAAATTTTGATGCCTCATGTTTGATGTGCATAGACAATCTTCTTTTGTATAATTTCAGTATCTGATGTCGACATCTCTGAGGAAGAGGGAAAGACTAGAGTTGCGTCGTTGAGGAAGAAAGCAATGAATGCCTCCGCTAGGTTCAGAAAATCTTTGTCCAAAAGGGGTAGAAGAAGCAGTAAAGTCTTGTCTGTCGAAATTGAGGATGTGCACGACTCTGTGGAGTTACAAGCTGTGGACTCATTGCGCCAGGCACTTATATTGGAGGAACTTCTTCCTTCCAAGCACGATGATTATCATATGATGCTCAGGTTTCTTCCTCTTGTTGTTCCACTTGCAGTTTTGTGGATACTTTTTCTGATTTTTTGGTTTTTTTCATCTAAACTTAATTCATTGTACGACAGATTCTTGAAGGCCAGAAAATTTGATATCGAGAAAACCAAGCAAATGTGGTCTGACATGCTCGAGTGGAGGAAGGAATTCGGTGCTGACACAATTATGGAGGTAATCACTGTAGAAATAGTTGGTAAGGCTTTTGAATTTTGCTGATTGTTTTATTTTACATCTCTTCATTTATTAAATTTGTCTTCTTTCAGTTTAGATCATATTTTCATTTTTCCCAGTAATAGACTCTCCAGCAGATTCTCATTTGCTTATATTTATTCATCAATTAGTTACTCATTTATCCATCTTTTTGTCTAGGATTTTGAATTCAAGGAACACAGTGAAGTCTTGCAACACTATCCCCAAGGACATCATGGAGTAGACAAGGATGGACAACCTGTGTATATTGAGAGAATAGGGCAAGTAGATGTGACCAAGCTGATGCAAGCCACAACCATGGACCGCTATGTGAAATACCATGTCCGGGAGTTTGAAAGGACATTTGCTGTTAAGTTCCCAGCTTGCTCAATTGCAGCAAAGAAGCACATTGACCAAAGCACAACGATCCTCGATGTGCAAGGAGTGGTATGTGACAACTATAATCACTATGGAAAATTAGAGAGAAGCTGTTATGTTGTTTAAATGTCAACCATTATGGATAATGACTGCAATCGATCTTAAGAGGCATACACAGTTTAAGCAGTGTGCATATTTTACATAGCAGTCTCACAAGTTCTTCTGTCTTTGAAGTCATGTCTCGTTTTTTCACCATTTCATTGCATGGAATGAACTATTTTAACAAATTTTATGCCTTAGGGACTTAAAAATTTCAATAAAGCTGCCAGGGAACTTATTGCTCGCCTTCAGAAGATTGATGGTGACAATTACCCTGAGGTACTGTCTTAAAGTTGACATATTTTTTGTCTATAAATTTCTGGATTTTTAGAACTTTTATCGTCGATGGCAGAATTGTGATGCCATGAAAAAATGTTGTGAACAATGCAGACCTTGAATCGCATGTTTATCATCAATGCTGGTCCCGGTTTTAGAATGCTGTGGAACACCGTGAAGTCCTTCATTGATCCCAAGACAACGGCAAAGATAAATGTGAGTACGTAGCTTTTGATGTTACAAATGCTAGTTCTTGTCAGGGCCATATTATTAATAAAGGAAAGTTATTGTCATCCAGGTCCTTGGCAATAAGTATCAAAGCAAGCTACTTGAAATAATTGATGCTAGGTAAGTCTCTAATTGTGCAATTTATCTTGCACTCTTAATTTTGCTAACCCAGGATTTATAACCTGTATTGTTATCAAGTGTTCCCAAATGGCGTCATCTGTTTAAACACGCCACGGTGCTGCTTCAGTTTGTTTATTTTGATATTCCCTTTCTGGTTTGGCTTTGCTCCAGTGAGTTGCCCGAGTTCTTAGGTGGTACATGTACTTGTGCTGATCAAGGAGGTTGTATGCGTTCTGATAAGGGCCCCTGGAAAAACCCAGAGATAATGCAGGTGGACAAACCATTCTGTTTCTGTTTTCTTTTCTATATCATTGCAACTCCGTATACTTCTTTAGTTTGCAATTGAATTAAAATTATTATATATTTGACTTGTGCACATGCAGATGGTCCAAAATGGTGATCATAAATGTTCAAGAAAATCTGGAATTCAAGTAGGTCTTACTTGATTTTAACTGGTTTTGTAAGATACATCTCATTTGGTGCTTATTGTCGTAAAAAAAGCTCAAGCTTATTTATATAATCTTCCCAGGAACGTGACACAGCTCCAACTCTAGCTGATAAGCGACCTTTCTCTCCTAGATTTACAATGGAGCATATTGAGTATCCAGGACTTTCTCGCTTTCAGGAAGAAGTAAGTATCAAAGACTTCCAAGTTCATTTTAGTTGCTACCAAAGCTGTGTGTAAGAGACAATTGCTAGATAAATCAGGCATTTATTTGTTTGCAATCTGAGTATGATAGGAATTGTTGGTCACATACAATTGTCTAAACACTCAGCATTTGAAGTGGGATACTTTATTTTTTTAGTTTGCAACAAGGTCTTTTAAGATAAACAATCTTTACAGGCATCCATAGCGAAAAATATCCAAGAATCTTACAAATGCAAGGACCATGTCTCAATGGTCGGTAAAATTGTGGATTCAAGTTGGCAAAGGAGCAGCAACTTTGCCCTATCAAAGGGTTCATCATCTAACAACATAGGTGACCTTATATCTGTATTTTCTTTCTTTTTATGTGTCTTTTGCAATAACTAGGCTCTGAGTTTCCTTTAACTTGCAGCAGGAGATTGTTTTTCCAGGGATGATGCTTGCAAAGTTCCTGATGGGTTTGGCTCTCAGATTTTGGCTGCTGTTATGGCGTTTGTTATGGGAATAGTCACCATGGTCAGACTGACGCGTAACATGCCAAAGAAGCTCACTGATTCCACCTTCTACTCCAGCACTGTTTGTGATGGTGACACAATGATCAAAACGCAGGGGCCTTCATACCCTGCCATCTCTGGTACAGATCTCATGTCTGTCATGAAGCGCATGGCTGAACTGGAAGAGAGAATGAGCATGCTGAATGTGAAACCAGCTACC